AAGGGGAGGTTAAAATAAGGAGTGCCAAAATGAATAGCAACAACAACTCCGTAAAGAAAGATAATGTAAAGTAAAAACAGTGAAAAACACAGGGACGCAAAGGACATGTGGATAATGAGCTTTATATGTCGTAGTAAATAAAGGGCGGCACGGATCTTAAACAGGCGGAATGAGGTCAGATCCTTAACTTCTCTGGGTAGAGTGATCCAAACAGAACAAGCAATAAAGAGAGGGTAGCGCAAAAGAGTGGATGAGTTACACTTAGTGAGTAAGAGCGAGTTTCTAGTTCTTAGAGAATAGAACCAAATAAAACACATGAGATGAGGTGGGCACAACTCAAGCTTAATAGAATGAACAAAAGAAGCTAGGTGTGCACTGATCTGATAGCCTATGAAGAGTAAAAGAAATTTAACCAATGACAACAAATACTCAAGCTGCGTGTGAAGACACCCAAAAAGAAGATTGCCTGATGAGTCCAGCGGGGACGAAACGTACGTCGCAATCGAGCTATGTCGTTGCTGTGTCATCTGCTATGTGCCATGCACTACTTGATGTACCAGCCTGCTATGCCGGATACCGCCAACCATGCATCGACGAAGCGCCAGGCGCGAACTGATGGTGGTGGTGGTGGTGAGAAGGAGAGCTCTGTGCCAGAACTTTGCAGCCTAGAGAGCGTGTGCGGGCAGGCGTGTGTTTACCGCCATATTGCCAGGTGTGTCTTTACCACCATATTTATCAACCATAAGTACAGCTGCAATGGTGTCTTCAACTTCATTCTCCCGAGTCAAGCTCCGTGTGAAGACACCCAAGAAGAAGATTGCCTGATGAGTCCAGCGGGGACGAAACGTACGTCGCAATCGAGCTATGTCGTTGCTGTGTCATCTGCTATGTGCCATGCACTACTTGATGTACCAACCTGCTATGCCGGATACCGCCAACCATGCATCGACCAGGCGCCAGGCGCGAACTGATGGTGGTGGTGGTGAGAAGGAGAGCTCTGTGCCAGAACTTTGCAGCCTAGAGTGCGTGTGTGGGCAGGCGTGTGTTTACCGCCATATTGCCAGGTGTGTCTTTACCACCATATGGTTCAGTTAGAACCAATCAATTCCCTGTTGTATTTCATATTTGTTGTGTCTTTATTCTCAATCTTTGTCGGATGGCTCCTGAATGTAAACAAATTTGAAAACAAGTAAAACTATGTGTCTCCATGTAAACAGGCGAAATGCTATGTAGAATATATATAGATCGATAAGGGAATGAAAAAAGATGTGAGTCCGCCTCCAATCGGTTGCTACATTCAAGATGAAGTTGTCAACGCGCTGTATAGTTCTGGATGTTTTCGGTCATGTTGCTTGGTGTAGTCTGGCCGTGTAAACAATCTAAATGTCTTTTTCAAGGTCATGTGTTGTAGCGCCTGGTGGTGCAGGCCCTTCTTCGTCTTTGGGTCTTCTGTATTACTTCAAGTAGGTTTATAGTTCCCTACTCAGACATAATCCAACACGAAGCAACGTTTCCGTGATGGTGCATGGTTCACAGAGGTTGTGCGTGTATTCCATGCTCGGACTAGTATGTACATCTAAAAAACATGTCATATTTCAGCAGTTTCTGAGTATTTCGCTGCCATGGTTCTCTTTTAAAACGTTATCAAGGGCTCGGCGCGCCTAATCCCTATAGCAAAGAATACCTAGCTTCAGCAGTCACCAAAATCGAAGAGATCAATTTGGTCATACGGTTGTCGTTTTTCCCTGACATGCTCAGTTAAGTCCGATTCGACGTAAGGTTATGTGAGAGGCTGGTATTTTCTGCATAACTCAAAGTCACTTACTGACTGTCTGATGTTTGCAATTTGCCATTTCTAGGAATTAATTGCCCTGCCAATCCACCTTCTCCTGTAAATGGTGATGTATCAGCTGGTGATCAAAAGGCATTCGCGACTAGAACATACTCATGCAATACTGGATATAAACTTTCTGGAGCAACAACAACTGTTTGCCAAACAAATGGAGCATGGTCTGGAACACCACCAACGTGCACCCGTCAGTAACCGTTGTAGAATAAAATCCTTGTAATCGTACTGCAATGAATTATAATTATCTGATCTTAAGGTGATCAATCCCAATCAGTGACAAGTACGTCAGTGGGAGAATTCATCTTTGCACCAACTGAGTTGAAAAGTAGTTACCAGCCTGTGTCCAACCAACTGTCGTCATTTTCTAACGCGAAGACAGATAGAGCGTACACACGAGGAAAAGGGGAAAGGGAGAGAGTATAACAGAGAAAGAGATTTATAGAGAGGATTGAAAGCGAACCATGGAGAGAAAACGATGTGGGCAGAGACAGAGAGGGAAAGAAAGAAGGAGAGAGAAAGAGTGTGTGTGTGAGAGAGAGAAAGAGAGAGAGAGAGAGAGGGGGGAGAGAGAAAGAGACAGATGGAGGCAGAGAGATAGAGAGAGAGACAAGGAGAGAGCGAGAGAGCAAGAGCGAGAGAGAGAGACTGACAGGCGGACAGGAAAACAGACAAACAGACAGAGATGGAGACAGAGACGGAGAGTTTTGGAGGGGGTGGGAGCGGGGTTGGGTATTGATGTCCATGATCACGGGACGATAATTGATGAATGTTTGCACGTTGTTACTGGGTTGGGTGCAAATGCCTGAAAGTTTGCCCGTGATCTTTTCTTTCTCCGGTACCCACTTCCAGGGGTAACATGTCCAGAGCCTCCCATGCGTAATGGGAAAGCGACCATTGTCCCTTTTAGTGCTCCACAGCAATACCAAGTGTCCTGTGACACTGGATTTCTACTCGTTGGTTTCAGCACAGTCACCTGTCCTACTAGTGGTGAATTTCCGACACTTCCCATCTGCCAAGGTATAAGAAGATACTTGAAGTAGTAATACGCTTCTGAAAGCAATGTTGCCTCATCTTTGTAAATAGTCTTGGAATATGCAATGCTATCTCTTTCTTGAAATCAGCTTCTCTATATTTTCACTTTAACAGGGGAGGCGGTATCTTTACATACCAGTTTTGATCTAAACAATGAGTTCAAGTAATCATGTTCGATTATCAAAGATGAGAACTCATATAATAAGACATATATCCTGTACAGCATATCGCGTCCAACAAAACCTCACACGTTTCATATTTGAAGTTTGTGAACACCAATTGAGTTGGTCTCGTTCAGTTAGGATCAATCTCTTTTGTACATCAAGTATCTGTGTCTTCATGTTCAATCTTTGTCGGATGGCTCGCGAATATCACCGACTTTGAAAACAGCTAAAATAATGTGCCTTCAGCCTCTGAAATAAACTACATGCAAAACGCCGAAATGCTTTGTAGAATATGTATCATCAATAAGAGGCCAGGTATAGCTCTGGGAATGGAAGTAGATATGAGTCTGCCTCCAATAGCTTGCTACATTCAAGATGAGGTTTTCCATACAGTACTCGGTTCCTGTCAGAACGAGAATGAATCTATGTATGTGTTTGTTCTCTGCGTCTTACCAGCCATTACATGCTCTGCAATGCCTGTAATTGGAAACGGGTTTATCAGCACTACAGTGGGAAGTTTCAGAAGTGGTGGTACAGCAAATGTGTCATGTCTTCCTGGATATGAGATAAATGGATCATCAGTAATCAGTTGTGGCAGCAGTGGCCAGTGGCCTTCCAGCGTTTCTCTTCCAAGCTGCACTTGTAAGTTGATTTTCACATTGATATCAGTATATAATTCAATATACCACAATACATTCTTACATACTAACATTGGAGCTGGTCTGACTGCTCTACACATGACTGTTGCAAGACTGCTGTCCGTAGTGCAAGACACGAACGCCGAGCTTTACGCTCTACAATCGTGAAAGAAACACCATTTTCTGCTCAATACTCAGTTTTTCCGGGAATTCACCCCTCACCATTTGAACTTGAGTTTATTTGTGGCAGTCCTCTCGAAATCTATTATTGGAGACCACGAGAAGCAGCATTCCGCTGGAGAGCGCAGTTATGGTGTGATGGTTGATGACATTATTTGCTATTGTGGAGTTGAAAGAAAACTCGCTTCAATATGAAGGACAGTTTGATGCTCCCAATATGTATTGGATTGTTCAATGGTTTTTTTTGCAATGTTATCTTCTTCTTTTTTCGGTGATTGGCAGTGAGATCGTGTGCACCCCTTTCCCCGCCAGCAAATGGCTTGATTGTCAGCAGCTCTACGTTGCCATACGGGATCACTGTATTTGCATGCAACGATGGCTATCTAATTACTGGAAACAGGGCAACTGTATGCCTGGCAAATGGCACGTGGTCAAGCACAGCGCCAACATGCACAAGTAAGGTTTTATACGATGGACACATCGACTACATTTCACCTCCATAACAAGTTCCGTTAATTGAAATGGCAACCATTTTAATTAGTCATGTGTAATAAAGTATACAGTGAACATGCATGATTGTCTCTGCAGAATCATTCGATAACCTTTCTGACGGTGAAATTCTTCTTCTGCGTGTTTGCAAATTTAGGAATCACATGTACATCTCTTAGTTCTCCCGCGAACGGTGCAATAGTAAGCAGTTTGAATGACGTTGGGGGTGCAACGTACTTCACCTGTAACTCAGGATATACAATAGTGGGCAGGACAGCCTCCGTATGCAACATATCTGGATCATGGTCAGAGCCAGTGCCATTCTGCCGAGGTCAGCTTTATTTTTTTAATTGCATTAGCGCAGTTCATAGGATATGTGGACTTAGCAGTCAAGTACGTGCAGTTGAAGCAGCAAACACACAGAGTTGTACAAGGATAACATTTGGGTTTTGTCCTCGACACTTCTAGAGGGGCTCCAATATCACCCGCCGTAGAGTGCTGGACATTTCTTGTTCATATGTCGTGATTAGATCTGGACGATTAAAAAAATAAATATCTTTTCGAGATTATCCCTTTGGATCCCTCGTCATTGGGTCTACTGGATTACTTCAAGTAGTTAACCGGTACACTACTCAGACATCTTCCCCCATGAGGCATGAATGTTTCCGTCGTGGTGCATGGTTTAGAGACGTTCTGCGTGTGTACTGTGCTCGGACTAGTATGTGAATCTAAATCCCATGTGATATGTATCAGCTGTTTCTGATTGTTATTTCAGTGTCACGAGTGTCTTTCGAAACGTTATCAAGGGCTCCGCACGCCTGATCTCCATACCAACGAATACCTTACTACAGACGTAACGGAAATTGACAGATCAATTTGGTCACACTTTTTACCTATTTCTCTGACAAACTCAGTTAAAGCACATGCGTAGCGAGGTCATGTGAGAAGCATGTGCTTTCTGCACAACTGAGAGTCACTGACTGAAAGTCTGATGTTTTGGAATTTGCCTTTTTAGCAATTCATTGCCCTGCTAATCCACCTTCTCCGGTAAATGGTGCTGTAGCAACTGGTGATCGAAAGGCATTCGCGTCTAGAACATACTCATGCAATACCGGATATCAACTTTCTGGAGCAACGACAACTGTTTGTCAAACATCTGGAACATGGTCTGGAGCACCACCAACGTGCACCCGTCAGTATCCGCTCTAGAATTAATTTCCTCCTTTCTTGCTACTTCAAGTATTTGCAGCACTCGCTTCCTTCGTCCCCAGGCGCTTAGCTTCTAATTACAAAGAGACGATGGAAATATAGCTGTACATAACAAAAATAGTATTTTACAATGCGTATTTCACAAACCAACAGGGTGGCAGTCAAGACTAGTTAGTCGATCCTCAATGTTTCATGCTTTCACAATGATCAGGCAACAGCCACAACTGCGGTGTTCGCCGCACGTTTTCACAGCGATCAATTATATTATTGGCAACATAGAACGATAAGGTTCCAGCGCAGGTATGGATTCTTGGAATAATGGCCTATGATTTTAGTTTGGGCTAGCGGTAGCCACGTTCACCAGGCGTAGTGTCGCTGTCGATAAAGCATTTCCTTTGATTTTGAATATCATCAGCTTCCAAATCCAAAAGCAAAAGCTTACCAAACGTGTATGTCAAAACACGGTGTAGTCATATGCTGATTATTGAATTTCTATTGTAGTTTTAGGGATAAATAAGACATATGATTCCCGAATTCTGAAGCACACGCATATCTTACATATTTGGACACCTGCTTGCGAAGAAAAAATATACTCTGAACTGCGTAAAGCACCACAAAATTGGTTGCAATGATCTGATGCAACGTGGAGGTAATGAAAACTGCACTTTTTAAACATTTATATCTTCCTGCTTTCTGAATGGTGCAGGTGTCTTGTGCAGTAGTCAAGTTGCTCCTTCTAATGGAGCTATTGCTAGTGTGTCCTTGGAGGTTTATGGTGCAGCAATATTTACCTGCAATTCTGGATACAATGTAGTCGGTTCCAGCGCATCAGTATGTCTTCCAAATGGAACTTGGTCGATTTCTCCACCAACGTGTCAGCGTAAGTACATGACTATAGAATCTGATAACCATCCATATGGGAAGACCAAAGAGGGGAAGGCAAGTGCAACGAAAACGAGCACAAGCTACAGTTCCAACTCCCCTCTTTGGTCTTTCCATAACCTTGAACCTTCCAAGTTGGAAGGCTGTTGGTTAGCGCTACGGGGATTTGTTGAAGCTAGGTGTCAGGACGTTGAATGTGTCAGTACTCTGTCAGTTTGTGCCTAGCTGTTGCACGTTCTGACTGTATATAGTATCTAGTTACAGTGGTGGAGAGTTGCTCTTAACTCCTTTCCATATGTCTTTTTCCTTTCTACTTTTAATAAAATTGTATAATTTATTATGTATGCACAAACATGCGTGCACATATAGATAGATTCAGTGGTATAAGCATGAGTGTGTGCCAATAGGGCCACACGCCAATAATCGGATTGGTCTGTGCAAGTTGCACGGCACGACAAACTTTCGGACAGTCTAAAAATATGACGCAATGAATGTGGAATACCCACCAGTGTATAAGACCATTTCATATCTATTTCGCAGCGTTTGTGATTTTCGGAGCGTCCTCGGAGGCTGTTGATATTAATATCCTCGCTTGGTTGATGACACAGTCACAAATTATCAAATTCACCTCAAATGCCATCCAATCTGCGTTCCGGGATACATGTACAGTGAACGGTGTTGAGGAAGGCCATGCAGCAATAAAACAGTCGAGACTCCCAAGCAGAGGATATGATTCGACAGCGTATTGAAGTACGAATTATTCTAAACAATTTTCAAAACATAATTACAAAATTTGAAGTGCGTCTTGAAACATGTTTGAAGTGCTTCGATGTATTTACCTTCGATCACCCCGAATCGATCCATCCACAGCTACTTGACGAATTTGCCAGTCAGTGCGGAGATGATCGAGCAGTTGAAGGTCGCGAGATGTCAGTGGCACTGGCAGGAAATGTACACAAGCGGATTATGAAATAATTCTAAGACCCAGGCATGATTCAAGAGCGGACTTTGATTTCTCCCTTCTTTTTATTTATTTATTTATTTATTACAGCATATCATAGCACAGTGAGAACACCGGCCAATACAAAGAGAGGGGGTGGTAGCCAGCCACGGCAAGGAAGGGAGAAGGGGAGAAAAAAAGAAAAGAAAAAGGAACCGGCACGAGCACCAGTCGACATTGCATTCTTGGAAAATCTTCTGCGAGGGCTGCCTTCCCCTTTGAAAGAAGGAACGAGTGAAGAGGGACACTAGCAGCAGGTTCTAGCTAGGTCGCCAGAATTGCAGAAAAGCGAGAAGACGTTTCCTACAATGATTGATCGCTGAAAAATTATCGCTACCGAAATATTCACTGAAAATCTACATTTTTCAAACGATGCGCGCGCAGAGGGTGGGAGCCACGTTAATCATACGCCAATGCGAGCATCGTATTACGATGCTCACTTTGGCGTACCTCCGAATTCCCGAGAATCCAACGGAATCTAATGAACTGAGTATATTTTCATGGTAACAAGTGCATGATAGGCTTGTATAACCATCATTTATGTGTGTTCTGTGAGGGTTAAATTGGCTTATGTTTGGAACAAAGATACAATTCTCATTCTTTCTATGTAGGTGTTCAATGTCCATCGATCGTTCCATCACCTTCCTTTGGATCTGTATTGTCAGGAAGTAATGCGGTATTCAATTCCAGAAAATATGAATGTCATCCTGGTTATCAACTTGAAGGTAGTTCACACACAATTTGTCTTTCAACTGGTGCATGGTCTCAGCCAACACCTAAGTGCAAACGTAAGGAACAATACTCGCATTCAAATACTTCCACTCGGTGAACCTTCAAAAAAGCACCACTGCCATCTCTACAAACAGTGTCCCAATACACAATGTTGTGAGGGATCAAACCCTCCCCAGTCGATTCGGAGTAGGCTAATGAAATTTGTGTTCCGAAAGCACTTCATTATACTGTTTCCCAAACCAAAAACAAGACTGGCGCACTCCCACAAGAATTTTTAGGATTATCTTCTTCTATGTTATGTAGGTGTTGTGTGCAGCGGTCAATTGGCTCCTCTTAATGGAACTATTGCTAGTATGTCCTTGGAGATAAATGGTGCAACAATATTCACTTGCAATTCAGGATATAATGTATCCGGCAGCAGTGCATCTGTGTGTCTTCCAAATGGAACTTGGTCAAGTTCACCACCAATTTGCCAACGTAAGTCAAGGGCCAAAATTAATTCTGTGAACCATCCACTTCATACCCAGTGTTAGCAGCAACGTATATGTATAAACGGCAAACGGCGAAACAGTTGTGGCGTGATGTATAGTCTCTTTTGTTAATTTCAGCGATGAACACTAAAACATCCGACAGCTGATACAGATTAAAGGCATGTGAATCTATAATTTGAAACTCGGATGTTGAGCCATAAATAAATGTAGAAAGGAAAAGGACATAAGGATACGAGTTAAGGGTAACTCTCCATCACTGTAACTGGATACTATATACAGTCAGAAAGTGCAATAGCTAGGCACACAACTGACGAGAGTACTGAGACATTCGACGTCCTGACACCTAGCTTCAACACATCGGGCTGCGGAGATGTGTTGAAGCTAGGTGTCAGGACGTCGAATTTCTCAGTACTCTTGTCAGTTGTGTGCCTAGGTATTGCACTTTCTGACTGTATATAGTATCCAGTTACAGTGATGGAGAGTTACTCTTAACTCGTATCCTTTTCCTTTCTGAATCTATAGTTCGCTGTTGTTTTCTGCTTCGATCAATGCTGTCCAATGTATCTTTCTTCTTGCTTTACAGGTATTAAATGTCCAACGAGTGTTCCATCACCTTCTTTCGGAACCGTCACCAACGGCACAAATGATGTATTCAGTTCCAGAAAGTATATTTGCAACTCAGGATATCAGTTGCAAGGTAGCTCACACACCATCTGTCTCTCAACCGGCGCATGGTCTGCTCCAACACCCGCCTGCAAACGTAAGGGAAAAAGAACAAACCAGCTTCGTCTTTAGTTGGAGTAGTTTTGTCCTTTCGGCAAAAATTCGTCAGGTCCTTCGCAGACAATATCACGGGCCCTGGCCAAATGTTTGAGTTCCCTCGACATTGTCTGAAATTCTCAACCCATTTTTGCAATCGGGGGCAGAAATTTTTATTTTATCTCTACAAAGACAAATATAATACCAAACATGAGATGGAGCTAGGAGAAGCACGCACGCTGGGAAAAGGGACAAGGACGAGGGTTCGTAATGATCGCTGGGCCCCTGGACCTTATTGATGTTTTCAGACTTCCGAAAGCCGGACATTGCATAGGCGAGCATGGGAGGGATAATAAACTGAAATCTGCTTACTAGGCATTCACTGGGTTGAGGGTAAGATGCAAACGGGCAGAAATTGACTGCCACCACCAGGACTCGAACCAGGGACCGTGAAGCCAGCGAGATACCCTAACCACTGAGCCGTGGGGCAGCTGTCATTTTACCAGAGAGTGTTCAACATTTCCTTCAGTCATCGTAACTCACGCTTCCTTTGAATCCACACTGGCTGGTGTTACGCAGCCTTCACTGTACATCAAAGAACGAATCTGACGAAATATTTTTCTGCTCCCATACATTGCAGGCGTTTCTTGCAGCAGTCAAGTTGCTCCTATGAATGGTTCGATTGCTACGGCGTCTTTGGAGATTAATGGTGCAACAACCTTCAGCTGTTACTCAGGATACAATGTACTCGGCAGCATTTCGTCTGTTTGTCTTTCAAATGGAACTTGGTCCAGTTCACCACCTATTTGCCAACGTAAGTCTATGGACTCGGGTGGAGAGCCAAGGTTAAATTTATAGTATAGAAAAATGGACCAAGAAACTACAAATTACCCCTCTTCATTTTTTCCATAATTTATAACCTTCCAAGTTGGAAGGCTGTTGGTGTGCGTATCCAAGATGTGCTAGACCTGTTGGGCAGTTAGTTGTAGAACGCACTACCGTCAGTCAGTGTCGGGCAAATTTATCGCATGAACAGATTGTTTAGTACCTGGTGGTGTCAGTGGACATTATAGCGTACCTTGAAGTTCCTTCGTCCTTTTTTCTTTACTATAAGTCCATGGCTTCGTAGGTCTGCTAGCCATCCCCTGCATATCCAGCGAACTACAAACGAGGCACAGAAAAGAACGTTTCAAATTTTATTTGTCAGTTTCCCAAATCAACATGGCAACCATCAGACAAATGATACAAACCTGATTGAAGTAAAGGCATGTTCTTTATTTATTATTTATTCAACATCTTATGGCTTCCGATGGAAGCCAAAACGGGAAGATGTGGGTGATAGCCAACCATGGTAAAAGAGGGAGAAGATTATATACATGAAAAGGAAACAGACGAAAAGCTATATTGATTAGTTTTTACTTGCAAGTATTATTATTATTATCATGGTGCACTCAGTCATCAGCAGGCCCTCAGATTCACTTTAAATTCTTTCGATGATGCAGAAGTCTTCACTGAGTCGGGAAGTTGTAGCCATGCACAGTAGCCCTGGAAGAATGGCGATCTTGTGAATTGCGTTGACTTGGCCTTGGGAAGAGACACTTTGTTTCTGGTTGAGCGGCCCGAAACAAACCAGTTATAAGGCTTTATATTTTCAGGAACACAACCCAAGAGCATTCGATGAACAAATATACAGAGGCAAGTTAGTCGGCGTTGCTCTAACGGAGTAGTCTGAGCTAATAAGTACAACTCATTGGAGGGAAAGGAAAGGTTCTTCGAGAACAACATTTTTAGAACTTTCTTATGATGAACTTCAATGGAATCGGATAAGACCTTAGCTAGGCCACACCAGGCTGTGGCAGCATATTCAAACAATGGAAGCAGATACATTTTATATATAGCGGAACGGCACGGAATAGAGACCTGTTTACAATGACTTTTAATATAACCAAGAGCACGGCTGACTTTATTACAAATGTAATCTACATGAGCCGACCAGGACATGGATGAATCGAACATTACCCCTAGGTGTTTGTGCTCCTTTACCGTCTGAATTTCTGTGGGTGAATTGGGAAAGGTGAACTTAAACATTGAGGCAGAATCTGTTAGAAACAGTACTCTGGTTTTGAAACGTTTGCCTGAAGCCTCCAACTGGACATCCAGGTGACAATCATATTTATCGCGTCTTGCAACTCTGACTCAAGAGGTGGCACATTACCCAAATGGGCCAAAATCACAAGTCCGTGGACATTTCTGGGTGTAACTCAGCACTAGAACATTGGATTCAGTTCAAATTTTCAGGGTGGCTCCCATGTGCATCAGGGAGGAGATTGACAAAATTAGTAGGCACATACGCGAATACGTTCCAATCTTTCACGCAAATTCAAAAATGGAAATTTGCGATTTTGCGATGTTTGATAAATTTTCAGCAGAAAGTACTGAGAACAGTTGTGAATAATGATATCTTTCAATTTACAGACTCTATGCAGTTATGTTGAGGTGCTGAACCTCCAAAATAGGACAGAAGGAAACAAAGAAGCAGACTACAATCACACCAAAGTTCTGTTTCCGGCAGTAAGAAAACGATCAGAATGTTTGAATACATCAAAAGCATTCTCTGCTTCACTCTACACATTAAAGGAGAGGTCCAGCACCTGGAAAATTCGAAGCAGATGCGACTACATATAAGATTTGTTTTTCTAGCATGAATAGCACTAAAGTTATGCCGGAAATACTGTCACCATGTCCTACGAAAATCACTAAAAAACTATGTATGTTGGGCCAGCTAAAATCCACCCGTGGTGTACGTTACACCCTCTCGCTCAGGAGCTGCATCACCAAACCCCATCTTTTTGGGCTCGTTGACTCTTCCTTGCATCTTGCTTGCTTGAGGATGACTTTCAAAACCTTGTGGTACTGCTTCTTGCGGTCGAGACCCTGCAGTGCACTACTTGTGAGGGTGCCAGAGCTGCATGCCATTTCGGTCAATTAGGCTTCCAGTTGTTCGCACCCATCGTTAAAGATGATGACAGCCAAATACACAGCTGTTTCCACCACCATGGCGCTGCGGAATAGCTCCTTTGGGCAGATCTGCCAGATGAGGCTGTTGATCGCTTCATTGGCGTTCTGGGTGGCACCACGTGTACACCGCTCCAACAAACTTGTCTCGGCCAGACGTACATAAATAGGCTTCACGGCATCACGGATTGCGGGTGACAGACTCTTGGTGTGGCTGTAGGATCTCTTCTCAGCCCTGGCCTTCTGCCATCCACACCAGGAAGTGGAGCCATCAGGACAAAATTCATGGTTGGGCGTCTGGTCAGTGAGAAAGGTATGACAAAAGTATGCCCATATCGCCCGTGCCATATCTATCACTGCCACTGAATTCCCCCGTATGGCCATTCCGTAATAATTCTGCGTGGAGTTGATCAGCACATCAGTCAACATCAACGACTTTGTGGACATCCCAGGCAATCGAAGTCCGGACACCACAGAGAGAGCTGAATCCCCTCTTCATCCAAGTACCATCTGTTGTAACTGCGATGTCTACCGGCTCGCCTTCAGACTCGCCACTTCTCAGCGCGTCGGCAACTGTGGCCATAGTGTGTTGGCTACTTTCTTTGCTGCTGCATGGAGTGTATCCCTATGTTTGAGAAAAGCACTGTTGGCTACAGGAGGTGGAATGTCCAGGATGGCACTGGTCTTGCACAGGACTTCCCGCGATCTACCAATACGACGCATGGCAAGCACGCTCTTCCTGTTGACCTCACAGAATTTCTTGCCTACAGGTGTCTCTGCCATTTGGGAAGTTGTCTCGGCTCAACAGTCATCACAGCACAAAGTCAAAGTCGTGGATCTGCCTTCCAGCCTGTCTGTCAAATCTGCCTGCCTCCACGAGCTGAAGAGCCCTACGTTGCATACTGAGCACACACAGCTATCAGCGACCAGGCGGCTTGCAATGGTGGCAAATGAATTATTCAATTTCTTTGTGAGCCATGATCATCAGGCTGCTCAACATTATCTCCATCCTCATCAAACCCGTCTGCAACACAGCTAGAATCACCACCATTATCATCAGAAACAGTCTCCACTAGAAGTGGTGGAACGTCTTCAGGTAAACTGCGATCGCTCTCAGATTCAGAATCAATCGCTGGAATTAGATTTTTTTTTGAATATTCAAGCGAATTGATTTCCTTTGAAAGCTCGCTTTTCTGCTCTTGTATCGACGACTGCCCTTTCTCTTGTTGCCCATAGTCTCACTATGAAGCTATCGACAATGCTACACAAACCAGCTGACAGTTCTGTCGTTCTAAAACTACAAGAAGACCAACCGACGGCAACCGTCGTCCTCAAGGCTCAACTGATTCTTCAACTTTCGAAAAATAGGGAAAAATCGTGATTTTGGAAAAAAAGAGCGGCGCGTGGAAAATCTGGTCTTGTAACCATGGCAGTCAAAGCAGCGTGTCTTTCTCCGCAGACGGTGGGAGTTTGAGTGAAATCCACCACTACTTTGAAGTTTAAAGGAAAAGGTCATATGGAAACGAGTTAAGAGTAATTCTCCACCACTGTAACTAGATACTATATACAGTCAGAAAGTGCAACAACTTGGCACAAAACTGACAGAGTACTGAGACATTCGACACCTAGCTTCAACACATCTCCGTAGCGCTAACCGACAGCCTTCCAACTTGGAAGGTTCAAGGTTATGGAAAGACCAAAGAGGGGAAGGCAAGCGCAACGAAAACGAGCACAAGCTACAGTCCCAACGAAACAAAGAATGTCGATTGTCACTGGACGATGACGAGACCAGTAGGCGATTTGACAAAGCGGTCTTACTACAATTCGAAGCAGCAAAGCAGCACACCACCCAACTTGGGTCGAATGTCTCAGTACTCTGTCAGTTTTGTGCCTAGTTGTTGCACTTTCTGACTGTATATAGTATCTAGTTACAGTGGTGGAGAGTTACTCTTAACACGTTTCCATATGTCCTTTTCCTTTCTACTTTTATTATTGGCTCAATACCCGATTTTGAAGTTTCATAATAATTTCCTAAAAGTTGAAGTTTTTCAATTTGGGTATTCAATAACAATTGCATAGCGCAACTTTAATGCTCCATAACTTCGGATCGGTGCAATCGACGTCAAATTTTTACAGAGCATTCTTCAGGGCACATACCACCAGAAACCAGCAACATAATCCACTTCGGGGAGATTTCGATTTTTTAGCATTTTTGGGTGATGTGCCACCTTTTCAGGCTGTTTGATAGTTTACTATTGTTTTCTGTTTCCACAAAAAGGCATCAGGTGCATCTTTCCTTCTTCTTATACAGGTATAAAATGCCCAACGACTGTTGCCTCGCCTAATTACGGAAACGTCACCACCGGCACAAATGATGTATTCAGTTCCAGAAAGTATATCTGCAACGCTGGTTATCAATTGCAAGGTAGCTCACACACCATCTGTCTCTCAACCGGCGAATGGTCTGGTCCAACACCTACCTGCAAACGTAAGGGATTTAAGAGACCCAAACCAGCTTCATTTTGAAGAAAGAAATTGACCGTCACCAGCCTTTCCATCAAACCAGCTTCTTTTTGATTTTGATTATTATTATCCTTTAGTAGCATTGGTCATGACGTTCGGAGACAATATCTTGAAACACCAATAATCACGGGACCTGGCCAAATGGTCGAGTCCGAAAATTGTTGGCTCAACCCAGTGCGACAGTGGGCCAGAAATAACGTCTGGGATTTTGGGAGAACGAAGGTTCCTAGGGGTTGCGGAGGTCCTGGATCTTATCGATCTTTTCAGACTTCGTTAAGCCTGGCGTTTGTTTTGTTTCCATTTAATAACATAATTATTACCTTCGGAAAATAGCTCCAGTGCACACCGTACATAACAGGTTCTCAGCTGCATCGAATAGATTTCCTAATGCCAATATTTCGCCCATTGGGCATCATCAGGGCATCCATAGCGAGAATGCTTGATCCGGGTTCTCAATTGTGTGTACTAGGCTCTGCACCTTGGTGCATTGAGCACTCTCACGAGCAACCAAAAGTCCATCTGTGTAAGTGTACTTCGAAGTATGTATAGAGAATATTGTGAGTATTGTGTGTTGGTTGAGTAGTGTACTTTGTCGTACTAGCCACTTGTCACAGTTAAAGGTATTGGCTGTAAAATTCCTACTTGCGCAGATAACTTATGCATTCACATTTCTCACATTTAGATTTTCGTACACTCACTTTTCTTTCCCAACATTCTCGTACCACGAGATAATACAATCACTCTTGCACGTGTGTTGATATTTTTAATTTTTGTAACTTCCAACCAGTACATTGTAGCACAGTTGAACACATAATTATATTTGTCGGTTCGTTTCCCTTATTTTTCGATTTAAATTCACTGATGACCCTCCAGGAAAAACGGTTATGAGTTACTCTCGTATACACTACATAATTTGTCCATTATGTTAATATAATGTCGGCATCATTAAATTGTGTTATATTCATAGCCCTGTTGAATCTTTATCTTAAAAACTTTTTTCGTCTTCCATGCTTTGCAGGTGTTTTGTGTAGCAGTCAAGTTGCTCCTATATATGGCTCGGTTGACACTGCGTCTTTGGAGATTAATGGTGCAACAATTTTTACCTGTTATTCAGGATACTATGTAGTCGGCAGCAGTGTGTCTGTTTGTCTTCCAAATGGAACTTGGTCAAATTCACCACCAATTTGCCAACGTAAGTCTGTGGCTAACTAATTCTGTATGCCATGCACTGCATACCCAGCGTACATGTACATCATAGTAGACACAGAAAGGAAAGTTTCAGGCATATTTCACATTCTCCCAAAGCAACAAGACAACCGTCAGACAGCTGATACAAGTCGGATATAAGTAAAGGCAATCGGGTTGATAGTTAACTACTGCATTCTTTTTCGAACAATGGCATCAAGGGCATCTATGCTTTTCCTATACAGGTACGCAAGACACAGAGCACCACGCATCATTCCTTGCATCTAATACCGGTAGTTTCATGCCCATACGCAACCATCAGAAAACTAAAGTAAGATAGCTCTATCGGAGCACTCTACCGAGCCCGAGGAGTCTCATGTGTTGTCCTATACAGGTATAACATGTTCAACGACTGTTCCCACGCCTACTTATGGAGCCGTCACCACAGGCACTGATGATGTATTCAGTTCCAGAAAGTATAAATGCAACGATGGTTATCAGTTGCAAGGTAGCTCACATACCATCTGTCTCTCAAATGGCTCATGGTCCGGTCCAGCACCTATATGCAAACGTAAGGGGAAGTTGTACAAATCAAAATTCACGTTGTTTTACTGCTGTAGAAGTACTTGAATTGTGATAATAATTATTATGTCAGCTCGTATGCTGTTGTATTCTAGCAATCTGCAACGTCAGCTGCCTTGATTCCAGTGTTCCGCGATCCGCCGTTAAGTTTCTGAAAGACTATTCATATCCTTGGCATTCATCTAAAACGGCCAGCAACACCTGACAGAGGTTGATTCCACGGCGCCGGAACTCCTCGAACTTTAGCACGGAAGCCTGAACAACTCCGAGTCTGAATATACAACTCTAGTACACCATCAAGACAGAAACAACGCTGTAGATCCGTTAGATAATTTGGTTCACCCTTGAAAGATGCAGGAGATACATCGAGGAAACGTCAGCTAATGTTAGCAACAGCATCTTGCCGATCATTGGAAAACATGGGGTCCAAAACAAGGTGACCAACGGCGACTGCGTTTGTACAATGCATTCGCAGTCCCAGTTCTTATGTTTAATAGCGTTACTAGGGGACTAGCACAAGCTGAACTCTCGAAGACGGACACGTTTCAACGTTTTCAACCCGGAAATCATCAACATGCGATAACCCAAGCTCCTATCTAGCGCCACGCTGTACCAGCGATGTCACACCAACCCAAGGCCCAGCATTATCCAGCGCCAGCGTTACAGACTCTTTGGTCATTAACTCCTTTCTCCCAAGTGACAGTCCCGCGCATCAAACCATGGCATTGCATTGTGTTTCGAAACCGCTCAGCGATGTTATACTCCTGCATTTTGAGGGCGCGCCACACAGCCATTGTGGTCACAATCAAGGTAGATTTGACCAAAAGGAGAGAATGACTTTCACGTACGAGGACCCTACACGGATACTCAACGCAGTAGCGGATAAGCGTGCCTGCCAGACCTCTCAGCAAACCTAAAGAATTTGAATTGGGACAATTATCCGCCTCCGAAACAATATATCTCAAACAATACTCAGTAAGACTATGCCTGCAGCTGCAGAAAAAGTGCTCAACATCCATTTTCTTGGGGGAGCAATGACACATGGCAACAAACAATGGATCACTCGGATCACTTAGCAAAACACTACGAGTGATCCATTGTTTGTTGACATGTATCTCAAACAATATGTACGAGTCATCTCCGGCTGTTGTTGGCTGCTTCGCATTCTTGTTCAATTGGATTGTACCTGATCTTTTTTTCTTTCTCGTCGCAATGTTCCGCACTGTACACATTCTTCATATTTAATAGGCGCCTTCTCTGTCACTCTCTCTCTCTCTCTCCATGCCCATGGAAAAACTTTGTTTCTGGTAGCATTAGGCGTGTCGCTGTTACTCTTCTTTGCCTTTTCAGGTGTTGTATGCAGCCATCAAAATCCTCCCCCTAATGGTGCTATTGCCAGTGTATCCTTGGAGATAAATGGCGCGACAATTTTCACCTGCAGTTCCGGGTACAAACTTCTCGGTAGCAGTGCATCTGTTTGCCTTCCAAATGGAACGTGGTCAAATACGCCTCCAACATGCGTGTGTAAGGCTAGGACTTAATAATTTGTTACAACAATCTACGTATCAGGAATGAAGTAAAGGGCGTTCAGGTGATGTGTAGCACAAAGCCTCCCCCCCCACACACACAGGCACACACACACGTACACCCCCTCCCCCCACCACCAACCCCCCCCCTCCCCTCACCCCCCACCCCCCCCCTCCCTCCAAACCCCCCCCCCCCCACACACACACAGAGAACATACACCTATTACTAGACGGCAGGCGTACAGAACAGGGAAATGGTTTGATAATTATGGAATGAATGAAACTATATGTGCACTCATGTCACAGCAACGGATAAAGTATTCCAGAATTTTTCTTGCCACCATTATCAATGGAATTCGTGACTACAGAGAATGATGAAACTATAATAGGATTTATACACTTTGAGTGAAAAGTCACGAGGGTGCAAGAAGAGTAAGAAAGGATAGCACAAACTTCGGAAAAGATTGCACCGGCAATAAAAACTATTGATCTTTCTTCATAGTATACACAACAACGGAATAAATTTGCCAAGGTTTTCATTGTGTGACTTTGTGTCTTCATAGTATAATAATATTAGTATTAGAGTATAATTATTAGTGTCCAACTACACCACGGGGGTGAATACTTCGCGTGAGTCCGGATGTCCATTAACGATTAATCATTGCTAAGACAAGTTAAAATCCAAATGCCTCGTGTTCTGTATACTGTGTGTACCTCTGGTTGCTGTATTTCAAGCAACATCAACGCAATGTCCTGCCAATCCACCTCCTCCATTTAATGGTATCGTATCTCCTGGCGGGCGAAATGCTTTCACGACAAGAACATACTCGTGCAATACCGGATATCAACTTTCTGGCGCAACAACAACTATTTGTCAAACAACAGGAGCATGGTCTGGAACACCACCAACATGCAGACGTCAGTAAACTATTCTATACTTCTTTCTGTGCATGCCTCATTCACCATGCTATCCGAACAACTGAAGAGTATTAATAATTGACATGTGACATTAGACATTCTTTTTTGCCCAGAGACAAAGCTCGTGGACATCTTCGTTGCGCTTCTCCTCCACTCATTGGAGCGCCCAGCAAATGGGCCTTCCAAGTCGGGACGTTGTTGGTTTGCCTTTTGTAGATGTGTTGAAGCTAGATAGCAGGTCACTGACTGCCTTAGTACCCCTTTCATGCTGTGTCTATTATAACACTTTTACAGTGTGTTGTCGTTGAAGTTGTTATTTCCGCTGTTTTTGTCTTCAGGTGTGGTATGTAGCAGTCAACATGCTCCTTCTAATGGGGCTATTGCTAGCATGTCCGTGGAGATTTATGGCGCGACAATTTTCACCTGCAGCTCGGGATACACTTTGGTCGGTAGTAGCGCATCTGTTTGCCTTCGTAATGGAGCTTGGTCGACTTCACCGCCAATTTGCCAGCGTAAGTGTCTGACCAGATTCCCTGCCTTCTGTGTTCTTGCTTTTCAGAGAGCTCTAGTATGACAACTATGTGATGTGTAAGAGGCCTCAGACCTTACACCTAAAACCAAATATAATATTTTTCCGCAAGTGTTGTAAAAAAGCACGTCAAATAACAGCAATACTGATTTTTGCCCGTGATTGTATGTCATGTGCTAACGTTGAATTCTTCCATCCAATATTCAGAGTAATTTTGGATCTTTTGATCGCCGGGAACCGGCGTTCTTTGAGTAGCAATACTACATAAATCTGATAGTCTCCCAACGCAAATTCAAGTGTACATCAGAAACAGATTGGTCTATAGTGACTTTGGTCTGCTGATACGAACAATGGCACACATTGAGCATCTCTTTCTTTGCAGGTATACAATGCCCAATGACTGTTCCTGCACCAACTGATGGAAATGTTACATCAGGAACAAATGACGTATTCATCTCAAGACAATACACCTGTAATGATGGATATAAACTGCAAGGAAGCTCCCATACTATTTGTCTTTCAACTGGTGCGTGGTCCGGTCCAACTCCTACCTGCAAACGTAAGGGCTTGAAATCGAGGCAGTTTGACTGAAAACCCGTGTTCTACATTTCGTGTCTGAGATTACATCACCATGAATTCATAACATGCTCAGCTTGCTGTATTTCGACATAGATATCTGTCAAGGTGGGTGGCTGTGTGTTAGCGACAGGAACTCGAGCAGTGTGCCTAACTTGTGATAAGATAGATAAGGTTAAAGGTGAGGAGCAGGTAGCCGTTGATTGTAGAATCAAACACATGGTTACACCGTGTGGCTGGTTCCACAAGATTCATGTCCATACAAGGAACATTAGCTTTGTTCATTGCCACCGAAGTAAAACATTTCAACCGTTCCTTTGTTTAAAAATATTCGGAGGGGCTTGTCTGATGATCTTGTCAGTGTGATCTTCAACACACATGTATATCCGCCAACGTTCTTCGCAACTGAGACTTTCAGCTCGTGCTTGTCTTGGTTGCGCTGACCTTCCCCTCCTATGTTATTACCAACTTAGAACCTTCCAGCCTGGAAGGCTGTTAGACTGCGCATCCAAGATATGCTAGACCTGATTGCCAGTTATGCGGAGACCGTCCGTCGGCAGTACATGTACTGTTGTTCCTTATCGTGCAATGCTATCTGGTACGCTGGTTGTAAAGTAACTGGTGGTGTTAGTGGACTATTGGGGGTAAATCTCCCAACCATGAAGAAAATAATGACGTGTTGCAAGTTTCAGCCGACGCCCGTTTTGGTGTCTCTTCGCCGATGTCTGCAGTTGAAGAATGTAGTGTGGAGGCAAGGAACAAAGGCATCCAATTACTTGGCCTGCCATCTCTACTCTTCATTGTGTAAATACTGTTTTCAATGTAATCGTGATATTTTTTCTTCAGGAATAACATGTTCCGCATCATTAGTCAATCCCACTAATGGACGTGTGACGGCACCAGCTAACACAGCATTCAGTGTGTCAACATACTCTTGCACGCCAGGTTATGAGTTGGTCGGGCACGCAAATACCATTTGCCTGACATCTGGTCAGTGGTCTGGACAAGTACCAACATGCAGCAGTAAGTTTCGTAATGTAGTCCAAGTTTATTTAGAAATACATTGGTCTCCATCGATACTAAATAGTTGACTGAAAGCGGGGGGGGGGTAGAGCTATCACTTAATTTCTCGAGATCATAGGGAGAGTAACCGAGACGCTACGAGTATTAATTCGTATCCGTACCATCTTTGCCAACATCCGCTTCGAACCCGCTGGTTTCATTCCTTCCAGAGTTTCTGTAACATGGTAACAAATTTTATGGTTGATTTCTACAGTACGCATTATTTTGTGATAACCCTTCCTCTTCTCAATATATGATGTTATAATTTGGCGGATATATTCCCAGTAAGCCATGAACGGAGACCCCTTAGACTTAGGCCTCGGCCTTTGGGGAATCCATAAATAAATAAATAAAAATAAATAAACTCTCCCCCTCGACAATACATATCTCTCCGAGTGCTTTACTAACCAAGATCTGGCGGGAAACCCTCGTCGTTGCCCAGCTTCATATTTTCCATAATAATGCTGGGATGTAGGGAGTCGTAATCGACTCGTTGCTGCATTCGGAACACCGTGTGCGAGTTATATTAAGGATGTGGAGTTCGATGTCAAAATAATGAACGTGAATAGTTTGCAGAGTACATAGCCATAGCTTAGCTGTTTGTGATACTCAGGAAGTACATGAATAATACAATTGACGATGATGATAGAGAGCATGCCGAAGAAGAGCAAATTATTACGCAACGACATCGACATCTAAAGGGAATGGGATAAACCTCCGTACCATCGCCATGAGAGCACGCCAGCGTCTCGGGCTCCTGCGGAACGCCTCGCCGCTCATGGATTCTCGCAGCCGAGCTACAGTGTACGGTGGGTTTGTACGCCCAGTAATAGAGTACTGCCCATTGGTCCAGATGGGCGCAGCAGATTGTCACTTGCAGACGCAACGCTCAGCCCTCCACTTGATTGGCCCCGGCGCAATGCTGCAAAGCCTGTCTTTCCGGCGCATGGTAGCTGCGTGTACCTACATTTACAAGCTACTGTGCTCCAATCCTACCAGCCTACTTCGTCAGCTCTTGCCTCCCTCTCAAGCCCCCGACCAGCCCATGTTCGACCCACTCGTCTGTCTCTCGTCCGTCTCGACATGCATAACTCGAGCTTGAGACAGGGCTACCTGAGACAGGGCTAATAGCCGGGACAGGTGCCGTAGAGCTTTCCCAGCCTGTGCTGTCCCTGTATGGAATGCCCTGCCACCCGCCGTCCTCAGCCAGCCACCTGACCGGAAACGGCTGTAAAGCTTCAAAGTGTCTGTCTTCCGGCACCTCCGTGCCCAGCAACGGCACTGGGCCACTGACACTTTGTAAGATGTATGCACATCTGCCCACACACTCCTGCATATTGCCATACGCCTCGTGCCCTGCTTACTCTTTTCTCTGGATCTGAATGTGCACCCCTTACGCATTATATAATTATACTTTATTTAGTTCTCTCCCCCTCTCTTGCCCCCAACCCTCCCCGCTCGCTTTCTCTCTCCCTCTCTCTCTCATATTTTTATTATACTTTATTTAGTTCTCTTGCTCCCCAACCCTTCCCGCTCTCTCTATCTCTCTCTGTCTATGTCTCTCTTTCTCTCTCTCCCTCTCTTTCTCTCTCTGCTATTGGCGCGCCTGGTTGTGATGAAGCCGAGACCCAAGGTCGGCAGAGCATCCCAGACCACGCCACCACTCCCCTTATTCATGGCTCACACATGACGGGTTTACGTGGCTCTTGTAAACAAACAAAAAACGCCTAGGATCTGTACCCTCCCGGGGAAGTTCCTCATTTTCTAATGCAAAAAAGTGATACAGAATGTTAATTGTAAAAAAGAGAAGAAACACATGAGAACGAGTTTTGCAGCAACTATCCACGATTGTAACAAGATGATCAAGAGTCAGAAGGGCGATATGAGCGCACAAAACTGACCGGCTACTGAGACATTCACCGACCCCAGACCTAGCTCTAACACATCTCCAGTGAGCAAACCAACAGACTTCCATTTTGGAATTACCCCTCAATGCCAACCACAGATTGAGTGGAACAATGGGAAAATATATTTTTACTTTTTCAGTGTACATTCATCGCACAGCCCCGTGACTGTTGGAGCAAGCACCACAGTGCGCTAACTTTGACGGTGGATGTCATTGAAGTGTTATAGGTATGTTGACAGCAATAGAAAGTCGTAGGGTATGTAAAATATTGAGAAATACTTTGCAGGCACAATGGTTTACAAGGTCTTTATTTACTTTCTTCGATCATGATGGTTCCTTGCACACGTTTTCCCAAACAGAAATAGCATGCTCATCAACCCCAACTGCTCCTACAAATGGGAGTCTGTCACCTGGAGGAAATGATTTTCTGACAGTTCGCACGTATTCCTGTAATCCTGGATTTCAGCTGATTGGCGATAGCACTACCGTGTGCCAGGCAAATAGACAATGGTCCGATGCTACAACAACCTGCACGGGTATGTCGGAGCTACCTGCATCCAACACTTGTTATTAACGGCCATATAGTTTTAGTTATTAGGAATGCTGATTACCTTACTTTTCGTACACGTTTCTTCACATTAATATTATATATTAAGATCTGGAATATACTGCCTAGCATGTCAGAGTTACGTATTCCATAATGACTGTGTTTGAATTGATCAGGTACCACAGTGGAATGAAAAAGCTACATTCACAACCTATCGCCGCTATTTTTTCCAATGTGCACTGCAGCTCATACCTGCAATGCTCTTCCTAGCATTACAAATGGCAATATTTGGCCAAGCCAGTCACCGCTTGTACCAGGCAGTGTTGCCTTTGTGGACTGTGATAAAGGCTTCGCACTGCAAGGGTTGAATACAATAACTTGTCTCCCTTCACGGAATTGGACAATTGCCCCGACATGTGCACGTAAGATTTTATTCTGGTTTACGAACTTTTAACACATGGGCCTCAACCAGCGAAAACAGCCCTTAGGGTCAACATTTTCAAAATTTCGTTTTTGGTTAGAAATTTGTTGAACCATATCTACTGAAGGACCTCAGCCAAGAAAAAGTTCAATATTCCGATTCAAAACGGGTGTATACACCAATATACAAGGTGTACCCCAAATTGGTGCAATGTATGTATACGATGTATTTGTACAATGAATATTCAGCATTCGAAGGTGGGTGGGCAGCTTGAATACTTTTTGTGATTCCGCCTCGCTGTCGACATGGATGTCGGAACCAAAGAACGTCTCATCCTTATTCTGAACTTCAGCGGCTACTTCAGCATCCACTCCCGGATCCCCAACAGGCTCGAGCTAGCTGTAGACAATGACTGCCGTGTGAGCTCTGCGAACAGCTCTGGCGTCCGCAGCCATCGCAGCAAGATCAAGGAACACTGGAGTCGCCACTCGACACCACTTCAACTAACTTCAAAATAAATTACTTCGAGCAAGGAGTTCAAGAAGTCGTCGCGCTGTTTGCAGCGCGATCAAAAAATCGTTCAACGTCACAAATTGACCTTTTTCTCGAAAAAATTACGAAATCTCTAAGGGTCGTTTTCGCTGATTGCGGCTCACTTACTATGGCCAAAGGTAAACAAACCAACCGCTGTTGTGGTTCCTCTGATTGTTGTCTCTTACCCATCCCCTGCCACGCTCATATTCTTCGTCCATCTCCATTTCCTAGCTATGTCCCTATGGAAGACGTTATAATTTCAGTGGAAATTGTTAAGGTGTACCCCCGGGGAGTGGATAAAGGTACTTCGTGTTTGAGGCCTTTCTTATCAAATGTTGACTTCTGGAGTCTTGAGCCACACCAAAAAAATTCGGTTGAAACGAAATGAGCATAATTATAGGGATCAGCCAGTAATAGTCACCGAATTTACATAGGGGATACGCATTGAGAAAGTGCACTAGGCAATCGCCAGAGTCTTGAGCCGTCAATATTCAATGTGCTCATTATAGTATTCGTTACCCTCAAACCTATCATTCACTCCCCAAATTCTTTTTCAGGAATAAGGTGCTTGTCCCTGCTCACTCCTCCAACAAATGGCAATGTCTCCAGTGGTCATGCTGTGTTCTTCAGCACGCGAGAGTACTCGTGCAGTCCTGGCTATGAAATTTACGGTGCAAAGTCTACTGTATGTCAATCCGACGGCAACTGGTCAGTCTCGTCTCCCACATGCAAAGGTATGTTGCTCCACTATGCCTTCACCGGCAAGTGCATATTTGTTTAGACACCCGAGAAATTGAAATCTCTTTTTAATCCACTAAAATCCCCTTGCTGAGCATATCATTACAGAAAAGATACGATGAATCAAAGAGTCGCAATTGAAGAAATGATAGTACAATTCCAGTATACGCGACGACAGTTGCTGTATTTGACATTTTTGATCATTCCCTGTATTAACCCATGATGAGAAGGGAACGATAACGTTCCGTTACTAAATAGGCTTACTTGACTGTGTGGATTGCGTCGGTGCTGACACCTTTTCTTCGAATTTGGATAGGCCTCCAATTTTTTTCCTGACAGTTATTGGTGTATGTTGTTTGATTTTACTTTAAGTGATGTAATTCGCAGGGACAAAGCCAGCACATCTTCAATTAATCACGCTTAATCAAAGTCCACAGGGATCCTTTTCATTCTTCAAATACATAAGAAGATACAATAAACATGATTGTGATTTTCCAGTTCGCGTTATTATGTCCATTCATATGCACTCATGTGCTCTTCCAACTTCATCGTATGACCAAGACTGTAACGCCGTCGCATTCATTTTGAATTACTGTACCTTACCAGAGATCAAATGCGACAACCTTCCGTCTACTCCAACCAATGGTTTCCTGGCTGGACAACAGAACTCTCTGGGCTCTACACGTGTGTTAGGCTGTGATGAGGGATATATACTTCATGGATCGGACCGAGTAATTGTGTGTCAAGCAGACAAAACCTGGTCAACGACTAGTGCCACTTGCGTTCGTAAGTCTAGTATTGATTGATTGACCGAATCATGATGACTACTTCTAGACGCATCCCGTAGAAATTTCACAGATTCACATTTCTGAACTTTACACTTGGACAGCATTTGCATCAACTGCACAGTACAAATAGAACAATTCAAACGGCGCTGTGGCACATCCTTTGCACATTTAGTCCTCAGACATTGCAAGTTTGCAATTTCCTCAACCTAATGAATACTACTGTCTCTTAGATTTCCTCCACTATTCCAAGCATTAAAACCAGACAATTATAGTATGTAGCTGACGTGATCATACTGTGAGAGTATAAGTATGGCTGACCTTTTATAACAAGGTCGACTTCTGGTGCAGGTGATTTTCACGCCTTCTTTTCTTGACGTTGATTCGTTCTGACTTAAACGTTCATCCTTCATAGTATAACTCTGCCATGAATGTTGTTGTCGCTTCACAGTTCAGCCATGCCCTAAGCCACCCAATATCACCAATGCCGTTGTCAGGGCTAACCTGACGCGACCCTATGTATACGGTGACAGCGTGTTCGTACATTGCAACACTGGACATAGTGGCAGTGGCCACATCAGCTGTACATCTACCGGAAAATGGAGTGAGATCATGTGCTCTGGTAAGGGGTTGTTTTGCTGTGCTTATACTCTCCCAATACCTTATTAATTTAGGGCGCGTTCGAATTCTCACTCTTTGACTTTTCGAGGAGCTTCGTTTTTCTGAAGAGGTGGCCTTATTGGCCTCTTCAGGAAAACGAAGCTCCTCGAAACTCTTCGAAACTCTTCGAAACTCATCCAATGGGAAGGTGGATTAGTTTCGAAGAGTTTGGAATAGCTACATCATGTAGTATGTGGAGATGGTCGATCTGATCGGACGTCATCATCGCCATGACAATTCCACTGAAAAACTCTAAAATGATAGAAACCGTTCTAATGGGACACTTCAACTAATCTCCTTATAAAATTTGTTAGAACAGTTGATGAAGACAATTCGAACGCGCCCTAAGTCATTAGGTAATATACTCACTTTGGTTGGCACCTTTTGGCAGGTATTTCCCTAGAGAGCAGTAGGGATTACTATTACTCTCCTTTTGGGTTTCTGGCTGCTCTTGTGTTGGTGGGAGGTTTGTTGGAGTTTTGCTTGGATCCTTTTGCAATTTGGACAAGCACACAACCTCATTGAGCCTTAGCTAGGGACTGAGTTCATTTTTTGCCTCCTGGTTGCAATGCTTGAGTGCATTTTCTTTTTTTGCATCATCATTTTATACGGTTAATAAAAACACGTTTCCAAGTAGGGACTACTGATCTCTTTGGTTCGCTCGAACCGTTATAGTTATGCGCTAAACGTCACGGTTACGGTATTGAATTCGTGCGGCCAAAGTGCGCAGGAAAATGGTGGCCTCCGTGCTACATATGCCAGCTAAAGTGCACGCAGCGTGTTTACTGTTTCTTGATGGGAGTTCAGGTCTTTGAAATGTGCCAGAAGTAGACACAGGTGTCGCAAAGACTGATGCCTCTTACACATACTTCGAAGTACTAAATTTTACTAAAAAAATTACTAAATTTTGTGTGCATTATTCCTGCATTGCTTTTTGCAGCAAGAGATTGCAGCACGGTGGCAGGCCCCACCAATGGCATTGTGTTTCTGACTGGCTACACTGTTGGCGCAACGGCTTCATTCATATGTTCTCATGGTTACACACTGATCGGCTTTTCCTCTGCCACTTGTAATCATGGAGGAGTCTGGTCCTCCCCCACACCCAACTGTGATCGTAAGTAGGCAGCCAGGGCGTATGGGACTCGGATTGATCGTGCTGGACATAATAATTATTGCGACAGGTTCACACTTTTCACATGTTTCCTCACAATTTATCAGCAACGCTATAGGACCCGCCTTGTACCCGATCGGCTACGTGATACTCTAGCGATAAAAGCTGACAAGGTTGTTCTTCCATTGGATAGCCGTGTCTCATGATAAATTCTGGAAATTATATGTACATAATACTACGTACAGTTGTGAAATGTAAAAATAATTTAATACAAACCATCACAGTACTCCCGGGTACTGCGGGCGGAGAAAACATGCTCCTTTGACTTTGGCATTCCGTTCTGTGGCTCTCTAGAGGCTAGGAAATGACGTATTCTGCAGTTTCGGTGGGGTTCATAACTTTTGTAGCAAGCTTAATCTCTACCGCGCTTGCAAAACTGCATCTGGTTGGTCAAGGAAAATGTAGCCATAGCAGGGCCACTATTGTTCGCCTGAGAGTGCAGTCAATCGCCGTATGCGATAATGTCACAACGTTAACGTTCTTCGTTCTTGTTTGTCGCAGGAGTGATGTGCCCCAACGTCAATGCGCCTGAAAATGGAGCAGTCTCCACTGGTGATACGGAGGTATTTACCGTGCGAAGATTCACATGTGACACCGGGTTCAATCTTGTAGGTAATCCAGCAACAGTGTGTATGGAAACTGGCACTTGGTCCGATGGCACGCCTCATTGTATTGGTAAGATGGCCGTGTTGATGTTGGTGAAATAATTATAAGAGATTCATCTTGCGGCTGGATGCTAGGTCTGGTATTGGTGCGAGAAGTGAATTCCCAGTACACGTGTACTGATCTATTAGGTAGGCCTTGTTTGGTTTAAAACATGGTCGGTGGTTGACAGTATGTTACAAAGGTGGAAGACGCACAGTTTTCAACACAGTGCGTCCTCCACCTTGTAACATGGTGCCAACCAACCAACACGTACTCACCTGACTCCCGATTGGTGTAGTACATACTGAATGTTAACTGCGAAGACTAATGTGCGGATGGAGTAGAAGCATGTGGACCGTGTTGCTGGTGGTGCACCCATTGAACTATGTTTTTGTCCTACTCCAGAGTGTTCGCTTCTTGAATGTTTCCAGACTTCTTTGTCTTTGCCATACTGCCCTTGCCTCACAGAGAAAACAACAACCTGCCCGTATTTGCTGGCACCAGCCAATGGATTCATAGATAATGGAAGCCTAGATGTTGGGTCCTCCCGCGAATATTCTTGTTCTGACGGATACATGACAACTGATTCAACGCACACAGCCTGCTTGAAAAATGGACGTTGGTCTCAGTCCGTTCCATGCTGCTTCACTAAACATAGTACTGGTGAGCCACGATGACTTGTAGTCCATCTGTAATGCTTAGTCTGGATGAGTCGAAAAGGCGACATGGAAAATGCATGAAAACCTTTTACTCAAAAGCATATTGGTTGTACGTTGGAAGGGAATTGTACGTTGGAATGGAATTGTACGGCGATAAAAACGGCAGGCCAGCTCACTTTGTTCGGTACAACGTACGAATGACTACATGCAGCAATCTCTACCTGTTCGAATATCCAGCAAACCACATATAAATGGCGTACCAACGTGCATCCAGAGTTAATGCATATCATTTTGAGGTTGTCCCTGATTGCATTGACGAGTGGCTGTTACAAGGAGATGTACGATATTCATGTATTGACAGAATGCATATGCCGGGAACCAGTTGAAATTGGAACTGACACCATGTCCTGTTCCACCTAACTATTTTGTGCTAGTCGCGCGTCATTAGCCGACGTCGGTGGGTGAGCAGTTCTACAGCATGCCTGGGAACACCAAGGTATCTGTGCAAGGCGATCTCCCCGATTTCGCTCAATCATTTCAGGCAGGTTTCCTTTGGAAAGTTGATGAACTGTGTAAAGCCCTTGAAAAAAAGGATTCTGAATTAAACCTTGAAACTGGCATGCCCTACAAAAATGTAGCCCAAGTATCACATTATTTACAAGTCTAAAAGAGTCATGCCACAGCGTAGACGAGCAAACTACGAACAAAACTCCATTAAGCTACCATTGTCTCACCTTAGACGATTTTCTGGAGTAGTACCGCTGTACCGATCAAAAACATTATTTTCCAGAAATCCCCAGAAGGAAGATAGGGAATATGTCTTCAGTGGTAGAAGCGATGTAAGGTCAGTAGCTTAGACCGACTACCAAAAGTGGTCAAAGACCAAACTTCCTTTTCGTTTAATCCAAACTTGCCTCGTGCCAGGTCACGAGGTCCTAATTGACTGTGGTTCTAAGCACGGCTGGAAAAAATCCTTCCGCTCCCCAGCAGGACTTGAACCTGGCACCCTGTGTTCGCAGGCAAGCATAGCGTGATGACCAAAGGCCATGATTAAAAAAACAGAACTGATTGTATTTTCGCCTAGCAAATGGAGAAATTCGTCAGAAGAGTCACGCGATTGCTACTAGCTAGTCTCCGATTTGCTTAACTTAAATCAAAAGTTGAAAATCCAAAGTTGATCAAAAGTTGATTAATCAACTTTGGATTTTGTATGTAATATCAAGCTCTGATTTGGCGCTCTTTGTTTGTGATACAGGTGAACAAGCAGCGTCAGCTTCATCATCCTCAAATATCATTGCCGGTGTCATTGGCTTCTGTATTGGTTTGCTAACACCCAGTGCTTTGATTGTAAGTTACATTGCGCGTTCCCGACGCAGGAGTCGGCGTATCACCGTCACTGACAACACCGTCCAGCAATCTGCTCTATTTACTAACACGTTGACCAGGAGTGATGTGTACCAGATGGACGTGACCACGATCGAACCAAACCTGGAGCCACAGTATGCGTCTTTGGGGCAGATTTGAGCCACCATCATTTGCTTCTCTCACTTCCACTGATTTAAACGACGTACACCTCTTCTTTGTTTTCTATCATTTTATATTTTTGGCAGCGGTTATGGTAACTCCCACATGCAAAACTAAGCCCGGAGGGAAAGTAGTGAAGGCAAGGATGGAACATATCTCACATTTCTCGCAAGATCTTTTAATGATCAATTAAATTTCACACGATCCCGAACATTATGTACTTTTCAGAAATAAAGATAAAACCAGACTTTTACAATAATTTTGGGCAAAGAAACACATCCATTTTGTACTCAATTTGTACTCAATCTACAGTCTTTATATTTCGTAAGTGCCGCATTTGTTGATCACTCGTAGCTTACAAGTTACTGCGTTCAATTCTGAACAGTACGATGAGCAGGGATATGAGTTAGGGGGCTTACGCCCATCGTAGTCTTCTTCTTCCACGCGGTTTGGGCCTGATGAGTCGGCTATGATTGAACGAAAGATCGTATTCTTGTTTACGCACGGAACGCTTTGGCAATAGTTTCAACAAAATTCAATTTTTCTTCGAACACTTTCTATTGAATTTAAAGATAAGAATCGCCTTTCACCATGCACCCAATTCTTGTTTTATCGTGATATTTGCCTCTGTATCCGCGTTGCTACATACGATTGTCATGGCTGTCTATCTGTTTCTAAACCATTCCTTAATCTAACTCAAAGCTCATTGCTTCCAAACTACATAGATTAGGGTTTTGGATAGGAGAGGGGGGGGGGGGACAAAGCAGATGCCTAGCTTGTACGTTGACAAGCTAGGCATCTGCTTTGTCCCACCACTAGGTCAGCTTCTCCGCAAAATCTTTTAGACTAGCGCTGATTGTATCACGTCAGTAGCTGTGCTTTGCTCCGATTGAGGAGTTTAGCGTGAGCTACACTGGGGCAGTTACATGTATGCGGCGCTAGTACAAAACATGTGAGACAATTGCCATGAAAAGCACCCATGCGTCATTACCATAGACGTGAAGCAAGCTAGGACCAAGAATGCTTAATTGTTGGACCCGAGACTGGATTGGGTACCTTTAGGAGTTCTAGGCACGGACCTTTGCGCCAATAGTATTGCAAAACGTGCACTTCGCGGTACCCAGAAAGGGTGCACCCCTATCGACAGAGTTCGGTTTCATACTAAATGCCTAGTTCGCGAATTTATTTTGCGAGTTTACTCGTACGTAGTGGATCAGCCCACTTCAAAAGCGCGAATTAACTCGTACTCTGCACGCAAAGGGTTAATGTAACTTTGGGTCGTGGTTGAGTTCATTATTTACATGCAATGGTTTTGGCCCATTAGTCGCTACATCACGAGGGCTACTCTTACGGCTATAAGGGAGTCGTGCCGCCGATTCTCGTGCAGAAGTAGAAGGTCCTTGATTAGCATGTACAAAGTGGCTGATTACTTTAGTTTGTTCCGTTTCACCATGACCATTGGCTATGCCTGCTGATATTTTTGATGGATCCGACTTGATCAGTGTTTCAAGCCGATAAACTATAGTGAATGTTCCGATGGAGAAAGGAACTGTTAGGGCCATCTTTTGCTTCACTTGCACTATATGAAACATACATAATATACAAGCCCTAGTGAAGAAAACTGAAACTGAAGTGTCCTGCCTATAATATTTCCCATTCTGTCACTGCGCCGACTGGCTCATACACAATAGTGCTCATTCTCATCAACTAGATGGAACATGGGCAGAAAGCTGCTTTATTGTGATGCACAGTTTGGTGTCGATTGTGATCATATTTAGACTTGATGCCGGTGAGAAACATCCGCGCCTTACAATCGTAGGTATACAGCTGTGCCAAGAATGATAGCACCTGGGGTGCCAGAAGCATTTGCCTTATAGAGTTCTAAATATTTTCAAAGGTCATGGCAGTTTTACTGTTGGCTGTCTGGTCATACAATGGAACTAGGCTCGTGCATGATATAGCAACATTATAAGTGAAACAGTTTCAGCCTACAGTGAACCGGTCTGGCGATTGGTCAACAGCATGGGGCGTTCTGTGACGGAAACTTGCAAGTAGGTATGCTCTTCATCATCTTACTCAGAAGAGAACCAGGTTACTGTGCTTTGCTTTTCCTCACCACTACTAGAGAGTAGGCTATATATATACTTGTATTATGGTTACCCTAAAACAATCGTGATTCCTCTCGCTTTCACAAATGCACGGTTTACGTTCCCCTCTTTGTGCTGCTGTTCACCCATTGGCTGCAGACAAAACCCAGAGTGCCTGGCCCGAAACAAGTTTCATTAGTTTTTAGTACTCAATGGGCACTGCTTTTGCGCCACCTCCCCCCCCCCCCTCCCCTGAACGAGATTATCGGCAAGTTGCAGCATACTATAGCAGTGGTCAGATGAAGGCCGGCTCCACAGTGCAATGTCGAAATCCTTGAGAACTCAAAGCCCATACTAGTACTCCAGCACCGGCCGTGTCACTGCCATTCGAACCGTGACTGTGTTCCAGATGACAGTATGAATGAGTAGCAGTATTTGTTGTTTTGCTAGTGCATTCCCACGGGGTACCCTAGTTTGCTCTGCAATCTCCTTTCTCTGATTGCCACATTGTACTTATCATTTTCTTGTTCTTTCCACCTGGCGATGATTGGGGCGTGAGAATGTCCGTCACAGCTGGAACGGTTCCGGGTTTGTCACAGATATGACCTGGTTGACCTGCACTGTGTGCGCTTAACCCTCGGTGAACACCGTTCCAACGATGGATGTGCACAGAGGTCAACCCTGTTGCAAGTACTCTTTTAAAAGCCGTTCGCAAACTAGATCATTCTCAAAAGTCAGATCTCTATTCCATCTCATCTGGAACGTAGGAATTCTTCTGCAGCCGACCCGAGGTGCTCAAGGTAAGCGGTAACGTTGGTTTTCTCATTGATGTACCGGAGAGATGTCTTACAATGTGGAAGGCAAGAGATGGAGTGAAAGATAACTCGGATAGCGAGAGCTAGTAAGACCGAACGTTTACGAAATAACAGAGTAGGATGAAGATGAGTTCCGAACACCAAGAGGAATCCGGGCGAGTTATGTTACCCCTCGCCTATTTTCCTTTAGCGCTAAAGTGTAATTTACTGGCTGCTGTAATGAATCATCATTTAGAGTGGCGTGTTTCTAAAAAGGGATCATCATCATGCCGTTACATTGTAGTCATAAACCGCGCCTTTTCTCACTGCAAATGTGCACCAATATCAAAAATTCTTTAAACAAAACGACGAGAAGACAACAATCTTAGAGTCGCAGTAAGAAAAACCAGTTGGATGGACAGGTGACTATTATAATAAACGGTCAATCGATGCATGAAATGTGCATTAACAAAATGGAAAGATAATTCAGTAGTGAAGATAACAATGGATAAAGATCCGAAAACGTTGTCGTTCAACACTCGAAACTTACAGTGACTTATAGTCCATAAACATTGACAATCAGGTTTTTGCCTGTATGAAGAATGAAGATAAGGGAAAAAGACTCGGTTAGAGAGTCAATTATTAATTTATAGTAAACGAAAACGACCAATTTACGCTATTATGTCCACTAACACCACAAGTTACTTGGCAATCAGCTCAGGCGATATCATTGCACAAACGTGATCGACCGTAGAGTCTACTGACGGTCTACAACTAACTGGCGATCAGATCTAGTACGTCATTGGTGCGCACTCCAACATTCTTCCAACTTGGACTGTTGTAAGTGATATGAAAACATAGGATGGTAAGGTGAGCGCAACCAAAACAAGCACAAGCTGAAAATCTCAGCCATGAAGGACGTTGGCGGATGTTACTCGCACGACCATTAGACAATACGGTCAAACCAAGATTCAAGGACTCACATCAACATACCACACCTTGCGTGGCTCCGAAGATGAAAAGATCAAATGAAGGAGAAGCTAATTGAAATTGAACGATGAAAAATCGAACGCCTCAGTTAAACAGTACCGTACTTCGAATATGACAATTTGGACAATAGGCAGCAGTAACAAGCAGCAGTTTCACAAGGCCAGGGTTTCGCCGTACAGATAAGGAGGGCTCATCAGGTGCGCAGGGATAGCCTAGGATAGAGAACCAATTTTTTAAGTAAAGAAAAAGGACCAAGGAATTACTTCTGTCAGCTACTTTTTCTTTCGTAATATTCTAATTTCCGTCCTTTCTTTTTTAAATTCGGTCTTTCCATTCGCCTTCATATCATTGGGCATAGTTCCCGTTTATTGTGCGAATTAAAATAAACCAACCAACCAACCAACGACAAGTTATGCTAGTTACTTAACCGTATTGTCTGATGGTCTTGCCAGTATAGGCGTCGACATTCATGAACATCCGCCAACGTCATTAACGGCTGAGACTTTCACCTTCTCCTTGTCTTGGTTGCGCTGACCTTCCTCTGCTGTGTTTTCATAAACCTTAGAACCTTCTGAGTTGGATGGCTGTTGGAGTGAGCACCATACACGTTCTAGAGCTAGTAGCCAGTTAGTTGTAGAACGCCAGTGCTGTCGGTCAGTTTTGTGCAATGTTATCGCATGAGCTGATTGTCAAGTAACGGGTAGTTCTTGGTTCTTTTTCTTTACTATAAGGGAACTCGGAAATTATAGTACATAGAAGAGAGCTTGTTAGGGCATAGAAAATTGTTGTGTGAAGGTTTCGAAACAATTGGAAAAGTCGTTAAGGAGTAAAGGATTTCGACCAGGTTTCTGGCCTTTCCCTAGTTTAGACTTTGCCCATGAAGCCAGTAGCGATTTTTCAAAATCCACGATATATCTTTGCCCTTTTGGCCTTGTTTTTAAGAATGCTTTCAGCTGACCATGACGTTATGGATTCAAATCGCAACCTATATTCTACTGAAACTTTTTTCTTCCCTATTTTGTTGAGTCAAGTCAAAGAAGTTGTATTTCTCGCCGGCTGAGCGCAGCGAGATAGGCAAGAAACGATTTCTCGCGAAACATATTCAGTTGCAAATATGGCATCTGGTGTGTTCTTTATTGTCGCTTCTTTTCCTGACTTCTTCAGTCAGTTTTGAGTTTCACCAGTGTCCCTGCCCTCCCACCCTTCATTTCTGTGTGTATTATCATTGCCTTTTATCACTGTTTGCAGTGACGTGCTTGCCATGCCTATATGATGCCTAATCGCCATTGGGGATACACACCCGGTTTTTTCCCTCACAACTGCGTCCATCGGCGCGAGGGTTTTTCCCTGCTGGCTCGGTCCAGAAAAATTAATCTGACGGTCCCAAGTGGATCTGCATCATGGCCTATTTCTGCTATCCACTGGCACGCCTATTCTATCTGAGACCCTCTGTTTTCAGTCCTTACTTCCCTACCTCACTCGTTATCCGGTTCACATCTGGCTGCGGCCAACTACCCTTCACATCTGGCTGTGGCAAACTACCCTTCACTTTGTGTGTTGTCGCTATTGCTGTCTATGTCTCTGTGTATGCCAGTATATGTGGAGCG